CACAGAGAGCCAGTCCTCGAGGCGGCACCAAAGGCGGCCACCTTTGTCTGCGAATGTAAAAAACAAAAGAGAAAAAAAAAATAAAATAGAAAAAAAAAGAAAAAGATAATGAGTAAGACCAGAAACAGTGTTACGAGAATATATCGAACCTTCTTTTTTTTTCGACTTTCTTCGTACTACACTTGTTTCCAAGTTTTCACCGAAAGAGCATACACGTAGGTGGCTCGCGTATCACGTATAGAATAAGCTCGTACGAAAAAACCTGTACGTAGAGAGAGAGACGCGCACGCACACACGCGACACCAATCTCTCTCTCTCTTGCTCTTTTGCACATACACACACCCACACACACGAATAGAGCACTCACTCACACACAGAGAATACACAGTATCACTAATTTTTTTTTTTCGTTTCTGTGACAGAGCGAGTTAATCTCCAAATTTTCGAACACGCGATCCTCCCACTCTTCCTCTCCTATTTATTCCTGTCTCCGTCTCTTTTCAGCTCTCGTTTTCTATTTCCTATATGTATATACGTATATATATATATATATATATATATATATATATATATATATATATATATGTATATATATATATATCCCTCTATATCTTTTTCTTTCTTTTTCTTTTTCTTCTATCTCTGTCTCCGTCGCACTCTATTCAAATTCAACGGCGTTCAATGACACCCGAACGAACTAAGCTACGACGACACATACAACTCGCATCCTCGTTCTATGAAACCGAGAGAAAGGGTAAAGAGAAACGATCAAATGAGAGAGAGAAAGAGAGAGAGAGAGAGAGAGAGGGAGAGATAGAGCGAGTGAGAGAAAGAGAAAACTTATGTATCATAGAAAAAAAAAGTAAAAAATAATAAAAAAAAAGAAACACAAAGTATAATGGCGGATCTATGTTGATCCGTTTGTGAAATTATTTTTTGATATTTTGATATTTTAATCTTTCTCCGATATTATCCTCTTCTATTTTCTTTTTATCTTCGTTACTACAACTAACTGTCAAAATGGAAAAGGTACGTTGCTTGGATCACGCACTCTCACGAGAGCGACCATCGCTCGGTCTTATCAGGCGTTACACTCTCCCTCGCCCGGTATCCGTGCTCTCTCTGCGTTTCATCCTCTCAACTGTTCTCTTTCTCTCTCTTTCTCTCTTTTTCTCGCTCGTCGATGCGCATCGTGTTACCGCGCATGCTGACGTTGCCGAGTCAAACCGAACTTAGCCGAAGTGTATGCAAGGAGACGTTCTTTCTTGCACGTCGTGTCGTCGTCATCGTTGTATCGTCGTCGTCGACAGCGTCAACGTCGTCAGTGCTAACGTCGTCAGCGTCGTCAGCGTCGTCGGACGAACTTATATAGGAAATGTCTTCCATAATATGAAATATTCATATTTCATATTTCTCAGATATTTATTACCATGACACGAACATTCATTCTTTAATTTCGAAAGATTATTTAAGGATAAACGCGTAAAGGAATATTAGAAATTAACGAATAAGAACTTACGAATAATTCGACGAACTAGTTTCTCGTCGCGCAGGTATGCGCATGCGCTTAGCACACGTTCGAAGATGCGTCGACTGCTTGCTCGGTTCGACTCGGCACGATTCGACCCGACTCATTCGTTTGGCTCGTTCGTTCCATCGTTCCTTCGTTCGTTTCTTCGCTTACTTGTTCGCTTACTGTGGTAGCCATCTTGCTACGTCCAACGCGAGAGGTCGTCTTTCGATTATTCTCGCGATATGCAAGAAGTCACTTACTTCTCTAATATTTCAATAATCTTCTTTTAATCCTAATAATATAATGATCGAGAGATATTAATACTATAAAAAAAAGAATCATAAAAGTATAAAAAAAGTTGTTCGCTATTCCTTTATTTTTTGTTTTGTTTTCTTTTTTTTATTTATTACTGTCTTTTTCTTTTTTTTTAATTCCACAGAAATGGTTAAAGATGTCGAAAGAGTAATGTACGCAATTCTGATGTAAAAACAACTCAAGTATTCGACATGAAATCATGGTTAGGTTTATCGATAATCACTTGGCAACAACGAACTCATATATTTGTAATATAAACAAAATCTCTATCCTACGATACCGTGTCACATAACTCATATATACATACGTACATATATGTATACATGTTTGGTAAACCTACTTATCCATATATTCTTTCTTTCTTTCTCTTTCTTTCTCTTTCTTTCTCTCTCTCTCTCTCTCTCTCTCTCTCTCTCTCTCTCTCTCTCTCTCTCTCTTTTCCTCTACTCTTTCTAACTATTCTTAGATCGTTCTAGAAACGAGAAGTTGAACGTTCGTATATAATTACTCTCTCTCTTTCCTCCCCCTCCTTCCCTCCCTCTCTCTCTCTCTCTCTCTTTCTCTCTCTCTTTCTTTGTAAATATACATATATATTTATGTATATATTATACATCATAATGATAAAAAAATATATTTCCGCAAAAAATTAAAAATTATTTCAAACAAATGTAACACTAAGGGATATTTAATTATTTGCTATGTGAGTTTTAAAGAGCGAAAGTTAAACGTGAAATAGAAATGTGCGAGAAGAAAAGTATTATATCGCGTTAGGATTACAGACGCCAAATGGTCACGTGTTTTGTAAACAGAAACACGCGGTGAAAGCAGGGTGGAACGGACAACGAGTGAAGTCACTCTTTTCAAAACTTCGCTCTTCTTTACAGGATTTCTCCTTTCTATAATGTTTATCCTATCGAACGCCTAAGTTAAATGTTAAAATGTCTTACACGTAACACATACACATATACACACATACGTTATTGTTTTCTATTGTTACTTTCCATTCTTGAAAATTTTAGGGTGCTAGATTAGGTTATATAACCTCAAATTGTATTTTTATCAAATCCATAATAACATATATCAATCGATGACTTCTCTTGATTAGTTCCTGTATTCTTTTTTTTTATTATTATACATTAGATTATTTGTTTTGTAATATATATATATATATATTTATATTTATATTATATATTAATATGTATATATATATATGTACATTGTACATATAATCTGGAATTATTAGATAATATATTTTTATCTATCGCACGCGCGCGCATGTACACACACACACAAATTTATTATCTATTAGTTCAAGATTGCACATAAAGAATAACAGTAAAACAATTGTTTACAATTTATGCTATTTTCTTATAAATATTATTAGAATATTATTAAAATATTATAAAAAATAATTATTAACATATTAATGAAATAATGTAAAACTGTTTTGACACGTATAAAATAAATTCAGTCTTTATGTTGGAAACGACGCCTCGTCGAGAATCGCTTGTCCATAATGATTCTGAAATAGAATTGTAAAGTTACACAGAATATATATATATATATACGTATGTGTAAGTCTGGAAAATCCAAGGTCGCGATTGACAATTGAAAACAGCCATACGTCCGATACAGCTACACTCGTTGGGTTCCGTAATTAATTGCGATTCTTGTTTCGAGACTCCTATTTATATATATACTTCCATCTTTTTTCTTTTTTCTTCTTTCCTTTTTTTTCATTTTTTTGGTTCATTTTTTTCATTCATTAGTAGACATTTAATGAAGATATGAAAAATTATTTTTACAAATTTTCATGGAAAACAAATTGTTCTTTTGTTTATTTACAAAAACAAATTAGAAAAATCTTTTATTAACGAAAAATAAATAAATTGTAAGATAATACAATTTTATTTTATTTATAAATTATTTTACAGATTACATATGAAATAAATAGTTAGATTAAATAGAATAAATTTGAATGAATAGATTAAATTAAAAATTAAAAGAAAAATTGTTAACAAAAAAATTGTTTTAAAATAATTAATAAAAAAAATAAATTATGTGAAAATTATATTCAAATAAAAATTATTGAATTAAAATTGAATAAAATTTGTTAATGATACAAACTAAAAATTAAAAAAAATTAGAACCAAAACAATTCTATTACAAAAAAAAAAAAAATAAAAAGAAATAAATAAATTCTATAACAGAATTTTTTTGATATATCATATATTATAGAAATTATCTTTTAAGAAAGAAAAAATAAAAAAAAGATAAAAAAAATACAATTTTATTTCTAAAATAATTTAAGTGAACCAAATTTATCAGTAGATCGTTCGATCAATAAAATTCAATATTTATCGAAAATCGATATACGTATTTCAAAAAATATATTCATTAGGATCGAAAGATGACCAATGTTTTTGGTAATGTACGATGACGATCTATAATTCTATACAAACGTACATACATACATACATACATATACATGTATCCATATATAAATAAATAAATATGTCATACGTATATACATACGTGTGCAATATTAGCGCGGAAATTGAATTACCTTTGTGCGACTGTTGCACCGATGAAAGACGTATAAAGCCAAGTTGGCACCTTAATAAGCTTCCAATTAAATACAGCTGCGAATTACTATTTCTTTCGCGAGAAAGGTTAGACACATTCGTGTGTTATTAGTTAGAAAAAAAAACAATAGTAATAATTCTTTCGTTTCTAATTAAGTAAAAAAATAAAACAAGAAAATAAAAATTTTCTTATATAGTCGGTTCGCTTTAACGTTATTCTTTTTTTTTTTTCTTTTCAAAATATCACAAAACGACTGTAATATTTCTTTCGTTACTCATTTGAATTGTTTGTTTTTTATTGGTCGTCCGCCTTAATGTTTTTTTCTCTTTTAAAATTACCATAAAATATATTTTTGATCCTTTTTATTACAAATGTATAGTTGATATATATATATATAGTAGAAACGGAACGCAACGCGTTTTTATTCAAATCTCGTCAATGCGATCGGTATTGTCATTCGAACAGTGGCGAATTCATGAATATGCGCGTTTTCGTTTCCTGTGAAAGATTTACGGGTATTGTATGAGTAAGAGAAAGAGAAATAGGAAGAGAGAGAGAGAGAGAGAGAGAGAGAGAGAGAGAGAGAGAGAGAGAGAGAGAGAGAGAGAGAGAGAGAGAGAGAGAGAGAGAGAGAGAGAGAGAGAGAGAGAGAGCAAGCGAGCGCAACGGAGCGAGGATTACTCGCTTCCTCCTACATTCAATGAAAAATGTCGGAAATGTGTTTGCGTGCCATTCAATGGAGATAATCACGGTGTGCCGTTCTTTTTGATTTGATATTCTACTACCGCGATTTTTTAACTTTCGATGTAATTGTCTACATGTAAATACATACGTGACATATATATATAACATATATACAATATATTATATTATATACTATATATATATAAATATTTATATATATATAAATATTTATATATATATAATATATTATATATATATATATATAAATTATACATGTATATTATCAAATTAAAAAATATGATAAAAACAAGTGAAAATTACTTAAGACAATAAAAAATATTAATTACACGTTCTCTTGTTACTTTTCTATAAGAGAGTTTATTTTATTTTAGGAGCTAAAAGAGACAGATAGAAAGAGAAAAAGAGAAAGAAAGGAAATGGAGAAATGATACTGTCCTTGTCAGTTTGATAGTATTTCCCAGAGGGGGAGAGAAAGAAGAGAGAGAGAGAGAGAGAGAGAGAGAGAGAGAGAGAGAGAGAGAGAGAGAGAGAAAAGAGAAAGCACAAGAGGGAAACGTAATTTCGGTTCTAGTTGTGTCTGAAGGCGATGTCACCGTACCGTTTGTCTTGTCTTCAGGATGACTCCTTGAAGACTGTTGAAGATGTGCAGGCCAGGCAGCCGTGAGCTTAGAGAGAGGAAGGCCTCTTCTATGTGCTACGTCCCGGTAGATGAAAGGCTCTCGTAACTATCAAAGGGAAAGGGAAGAGATAAAGGCTGTACCAGTAGACAATGGCCCTGAGCCTTCTACGTTTACAGCTCGTTCTAGACGGTTTCTAACTACTACTGCTACTACTACTAAACTACTATTATACTACTACTATTTTATACATATTTTCTAACCAGCCTTCTCTTTCTATGAGAAACTATATATACATATTATATAATATTGTATATATATATATATATATATTATTATATTATATATATAATATATTGTATATATTGGTACATATAGTATACTAATATATATATATATTATACTTACTTTTTTATACTATATATATGTATATATATATATATTGTGTATGTGTAGGATATATATTCTATAAGTATATATATATATAAGAATATATATATATTTTTCCTCCTTTAAGCTTCGTAAAAAGAAAAAAAAAAAAGAAAAAACTGGAAAAAACAGAAAGGAAATAACTCGACTCCTCGAACATGATTCTACTTCGAAGATTTTAATACAAAAAGACTTGTTTAAAATCATAGTAGATAGTGATTAATATCGTATGACTTTGGAATAGAATCGTTGGATAAATTCAACAATACATGTTACACAAAAACGTTATCGCCTTCTATTATTATTAAACTTTTCTCTATGTTTCAACCTTGAAATTACGAGCACCAGTTACATTAAACCGAGCATCCTGTAAATGGCCTTCGTCTATGGCCTCTCTCTCTCTCTCTGTCTTTCCGTACACGCACATACATGTACACACATACGGTAAGCTAAAAATTATTAGATAATTTTAAAAATCAATTATTTTTTCGTAAACTTTGTAGTCACATTTTATTTTCAGATAATAAAACTACAAGTCTTATTACGAAAGCCTAAAAAAGTCATTAAAGAGATTAAATTAATTTTTAATTTTAAGATCACCTAGTAACTTTTGGTCCACTTAAAAATTTTCAGTCCAACCGTGTATAAGTATATATATATGTGCGTATGTGTATACATATATATATATATATATATTGGCAAATTGCCATACGAATATTTTCTAGGTCTTGTACGATGTTATTCAAGTCAAATTCAAGTAGACTCAAGCATGTAACTATGCTGTCGTCACTATTATTATTACTAATATACCAAAACTGTTATACTACTACTGTAAAGAAAAGGTTAAGTAAACAAACTTTACAACTATTTGTGAAAATATGCTAAAAAGTTTTGGATTACATACAAATCTAATCCTTGTAAAAATTATATTAACTTTCTTTTTTATATATGTATATATATATATATATGTATATATATATATATATATGTATATATCTAATCATCATATGTATATAAATACATATAAATAATACAAAAAGTAAAATTTCATTAATAAAATATAATTCCTATTGTATTCATCTATTAATATTATTAATTTCTTACAATCATTTTTTGATATACATACATACGTACATAACACACATACGTAAATATATGCACATAATCTTTCTTGACACGAATGATATCACGACGACGACACAACAACGTTCGAAACGTTACAATCAAAATCTAAACTATCATTGACGTCAAAGTGAATGACGTAAAGAAAACTTTACCTTCTTCGTAATCTACTAGTTACTGGTAATATGACTAACCAAAGCTTTTCTTATCCTTCTTTTGCTATAGTAATCAAAAAATCACGACTTCCCGAATGATTATGATTGTTCTAGTTATGTATAAAATAAAAAAATAAAAAAAATAAAAAAGAAAATTAAAAAGCTAAAATAGCACGATAAATAAGAAGAAAATTCGATTGAATTTGAATATTATCATTACTTCACATTTAGTAGTTTTTCAAGCAATATTAGAGTAAGTACCAGAAATTCCATAGTCTATTAAATAGTATTAATTTCAAAGATAAACCTGATCTAAAATATGTTACGACTATTCAAAAATCTAATATTTTTTTTCTCAAAATTAAAGTCAATTCAAATCTTATCGAGTAGTTAATTACTGATGCATATCTCGATTAAACTTTACAAGATACTAAACGTTACATAAATACTTGAGTCACATAATAACAAGATATCTTTCCAAACATGTCGATCAAATTAAAAAATAAAAAAATAAAGGAAAAGTAGATTTATCTATCGATAAAGAAAATCACTCTGAGTCGATAATACAGTTTCTTTAGTTTGTACTGCCACCATGCGACTGTTTTAATCGATCGGTCGGTAAGTTAGAGAATGACAAAAAAACGAGTTTAATAATAATAGTAATAATCTATCTGTTTCGTGAGAAAATAAACACGTTTGGTGGTAGTGTTTACGGAAGATTGTAACAGCTGTATTTATATATATGCGTTTAGTGAGAGAAAAGTGGAACGCAGAGAGAGGGGAGCGACTGAGAATGGGATGATCCCGAGAGTGCGAGCGACATAATTGGCCATGAAAAAAAAAAAAAAAAAAGAAAAAATTCGATTCACCTAGGACATTCGTTATTGAAATTCTGTTGGTCTTTTAATCATCTTTTTTAATCATAAAAAAAATGTTGTTTATTCATTCATAAACATATTTTTTTTTTAAATGTATGATTTTCTTGAGCAATAACTTCCTTGATTATCTTGATACATGTATCAGTTTATGCTATCACTATGACGACTCCATAAATAACGGTATAACAAATAAGAGCTCGCGCGTTGAACTAAAAAAAAATAAAAAAAAAGAGAAAACAATCCAATTACATAAGGAATATGTAAAAAAAATTGTAAAATTTACTTGTAAAAGTTTCTTCGTGAAAAAAAAAGAAAAAGAAAAAAAAAGAAAAAAGCAAAAAAGAGAGAAAAGAAGAATTTTTATTTCCCACAAAGAGATACTTATTATTTCGTACCTGCAGTAAGAATATCTTCACGAAGAGAGAAGAGGAGCATTCTTCCGTGTTCTAAACACCTGCGAGAGGGGAAGAATACAAGGGACAGGATAAGGCAGGTGCGATGCTAAATAAAATACGGTTCGATATATGTACATACATAGCCAACGTGTCGAGTGATCTCTTTCTACCCATATCACACATATTCGTGTCAAACCATCTAGAATATTTAAATGATTAGTCAATTATTATATTGGAACGTTGTGTAATCATTTTAATATATCGAATTGATTCAAGATTCAAGATAATATATAAATTTTGTTTCGAATAGCATTATGATTGAATTATTTCAAGAGGAGTTAGGAGAAATTTGTCGCACGACGACCTGATCTATTATGGTTTCGTTTGACATGCTAACATTTTGTGGCAAGCTCGTTTCCATAGTCTCTCAGTATAGTCAGAGAGGTTTCATTTAATTTTCAAATACAAATAATACTATTTGGAATAAACTAAACTCGTCTACATCTATAAACATATACATATCTATTTGTGTATATATACATATATACACACATATATATTTTTATGTATATTTGTTGTACCGATAATAAGAATGGCCATAAAAATTGTGTTCATAGATTCGAACTAAATAAATATTGTATATTTATTATATTCTCGTTATATAAGTAAAGAAGAAAAATGAATAAATAAATAAATTAAATATATTTCTAAGAAAAAAAAAAAGAAATAAATAAAGAAAATATATTTCTAATATATCGTTTTCGAGTTTCGATTCATCATGGCGTCGTTTCGACGAATTCGTTTCGGAAAATAAAATGTCTAACCAATATCCTCCCTGTTATGCGTCAACGATGATGATGATGGCGACGATGAGAACAAGGAGAACGACGAGAAGTCAGACGTTCGAAACGATTTTCTTAGAGAACGTTTCCTGGGTAACTCGTGCGTCATCCTTTATCGTTCTCGAAAAGAACACACACACGTCAGCTGGTGGTGCCTGGTGTGCTTCGAGGGACACGACATAACCTCTTGTGTTTCCCTCTATATGCCGCTAGAGTGTGCCCTCGGTGTTCTGAGCCTCGCTCGAGGCCGAAACCGATGGATTTGATGACGTAAGCGTACATAAACCACCATAAAGGCTCAGTGCTGCTCTGCTTCATTAGCGTAAACCGCGAAACTTTGCTAAGTCTTTTCCTCATTGCCGTCGTTATTTTTGTCGTTAGAGAATGATTCAATACTTTAGTGATGATAGTACAGGAAAAGCATTTGAACGTTTTCTCCTATAAATTTCATTTGAGAATCACTGCATTTTACGTATATATATATATATATATATATATATATATATATATATACATGTTTTGTATGTATACATATATATATATAAATAATTTTTAACTTTCTAATTTAAAAAATGTTTTTGTATGTTTCTAGAATTTTATACTTCAATGATTACTCTGTGATACTACACAAAGAGTATTCGATAATTTTTTCACATACATTCGTTTGAGAGTCACTGCATTTTCTCTTTTTTTTCTTTTTTTAGTTTTTTTAACTTTTTAACTAAACAATTTTTTCGTTTGTTCCTAGAATTTGTCGGTATCGTGTCATTAGAAAATGATTCAATGACCAATACGATAAGCATCCGATCGTTTTCTCATATAAATTTATTTGAGAGTCATTGCATTTTTTTTCTTTCTTTCTTTTCTTATAAAATTTTTAATTTTCTAATATTTAGACAATTCTTTGCTTTTAAGATTTTTTTTCTTTTTTCAATCTTAAATAAATTGGAATATTTTCACGCCGAGTTAACTTCGTATGTATGGTCGATGATACCTCGTTGAAAGTTCAGCCTTCGAATGGAACATTTAGCGTGGCTCGGCCAGGCGTACAGTCATGCGCGCATGCGCCTACGCGTTATCGCACGTTTAGACGATACTAAATATGTACTCCTTATGTGAGAAACGGAAAATTCAATTTTTTCCTAAGTAAGGCTTACTCACATGGGAAAAAACGTTAGGTGGAAGATTTCTTACAAAAGGTGCGAAGCTGTTTCAAGAATATTTTGATCTAACTTAGATGTTTAATTAGATATCAACTTCTGAAAATTTTTATTAACGATTTTCATATATATATATATATATATATATATATGTATGTATATGTATGAAATCATACATATATAACAACAATATTACACAAAATTTATATAAAAATTACATAAAATATTATATAAAAATTTATGTTTCGTTGTAAAATCAAACGAAGTTCTTATTTCATTTGGTTATAAAAAAAAAAAATAATAATAATAATATATATGATAAGATCAAACGAAGTTAGAAGTAGATTGTTTTTATTTTATTTTTCTTTTTACTTTTTTGGTTTATTTTTCAAGTAATTTTAATCATCCCTATCTAAAAATAAAATTGTAGAAACCGATATGATTGGCAATTCAATTGATGAATTTCTTAGTGCATGTGTCGGCAGTACACTTCCAAAGCGTCAGCGATTTGTTTTTGCCGATTCAAGAAGATTACCGTCGCGCAAAACATCATTTTATCGACTGTTAGGTGTCGCAATGGTGACATGTCGTCTACACATACATACATGCATGAATATATATATATATATGCTGTAAGATTATTTCAAGTCATTGAAATTCTTGATCAAAGAACACTTCAGTATTATTATTGATATATCCGTCGTTTCAAAATTCATCTTCGAAGTATTTTATATAATGATTTTTTTTTTTTTTTATTAATGTGTTTAATAAAAATTAATAAATATCTTCACGTAAACTTAATTCGATTTTGTTGTAAACGTGAAAAGTGAGAAAATGTTAAACAATTTCAAGTATCTACTCTTATCTTATCCTCTCTCATGTAAAGAAAAATCCAAGGTTTCTGTTAAAATACAGGTCGTTTTTAACGCGCAAGATAACATTTTGCCCAGCGGAACGACCAATGATATTCTACTTGAAATCTCGGTCTGGTCTCTCTCTCTCTCTCTCTTTCTGTCTCTTTCTCTGCCTTCTCGCGGGAGAAACCAGAATCCAGAATACGAGACCGGGAACTCGATCTCGCCTGCATCTCAATTTCAGTTCTCCATCTGGTGTCACTTCCACTAACATATGACGTACGTATACGTTTACTTGTCGAAGTATGTATTTCAAAATGAACGACGTGTCAATTTTTTTCTTTCTTTTTATTTTCTTTTTTAATTTTATCGATAATATTCTTTAAAAAGGTTAATTCTTTTCTTTTCACTTTTGAATGATCAAAATTGTTGTCTTTATTTTTAATGCTCGATAAGAATGATCAGAAAATTCGAGGTGCGTGTTTCGTGGAGATTTTTTTAATAAGATGGCCGACATCAAATAAAAAATTCGAAGTTTCGACGATTCAAAGTTTTTTTTCGAATAAATTTTAAGACGTTATGAATAAAATATTTAATTAAAAATTCTAAATTTATTTTGTGGATTATTGGCCAATTCATTTTTTTTTCTTTACTAGATGGTTGACATCATAAACAAATTTTACAATTCAAATTTTCTCGTCATAAAAATAAAACAAATTAACTAAAAGATTCTAATCGTTGTTTTTATTTAGAAAGGATATATATATATATATGTATATATAATATATATTATTCGATAAAATTTACAGAAAGAAGAGAAAAAAAAAAGAAGAAAAAAATAGAAGAAAAAAAGGAAGAAAGAAAATTAAACTCCTACGTGAGCGATTAATGCGCAAGAATTTTATATTTATAGATTATCGATTATATCCCATATCCATTCTCATACGATAAATACACTGATAATGTCTGAACATAAAAAAAATAGAAGCACTTCGTATTTTCCGTAGAATTTTTACGATTCATACGTCGTTTATTCGAAACTGTACAATGTTTTTTTTAATCAAATATTCGGAGGAGATACGAGCGACCATAATAGTATATATTTCGGATTAATCGAACCAAAGAAATTTCATTTGCAAATAGAATATTCGTCACATTTTTAAGAAGTCGATAAGAATTGGATAAAAATATCTTCTCGATGTCATTTTGTTTATAATTTTTCACATATATCTATTTGTGTGCATATATACAATTATCCTAACAGTAAAATAAATTAAAACAAAAATCACATAACTCATCATGCATACATACACATATACACATCTTACCTTAAATAATCCAATCGAACGTTCAAATTGATAAATATGAAACTTGATAATTTATAACTTAGCATGTGACATCGTCTTCGCTGGTAGAGTACCTATACACTATGCACTGGTTTTTGAATCATGCGACATAAAAGAGATGGAAAAGAGAGATTACTCTCTTTGTATTCGAAGCCGAATGGTCATCCCCGAATATTTCAGCTATTGAATTTTTGTGTATATAGTCAGGCAATCTACAAACGCGTATACATACTACATATGTATATATATATATATATATATATATATATATTATACCTTCATATATATATGTATATGTACCAAAATTGTGTATATTGACGAGGCTATTCATCTTTTGGGTACATCGAACGTGTCCAAATATCAGCTGGCAATTAATTTTGCGTTCGTTCGATCGCACAAAACTACCACGAGCTATGCTACAAATCGCAGCTGCGCTAGGTGGTATAAAGGGACTTTTAAGGGCTTATCTGTCGGTACATCGAAATCCAGTTTTATGCCGTTTAATCATTGCTTTCGCCGGAATTTGAATCAAAGTTAGTTCACCGTTTTATTTTTTTTTCCTTTCTTTGTATCGAATTTAATTTTTTAATAATGATTCGATATATATATATACACATATATATATTGAATTTCAAGTAAACATATTAGAGAAATTAATTACAGAAGTTAGAATATTAATTACAACGATATTTGTATTATCATATATAGTGTACGAACTATTGTATACATATTTTGTATAGAATTTTTTAATTAAAGAAAAGAAAAAAGAAAAAAAAAAATAAAAGAATGAAAGGAAAACTGATGAAAAAATACATGTGTACGTTACACATTCCAGTTTCTATGAAACTTCGTTCTCCCTAACTCTGAATGTAACGTTTGAAAAGTTCGATAAATGTGACAATACCAGCCAATGCAATCTTTTCTTTCTCAACGAATCGACCTAGACCGCGAAACTAGTTACTTGTACCTTCGGCAATGAGAGAATCAAAACGTGACACGACTACGACATAACTTGCGATTACATATAGGCTTTTACATTACCATCATCGTAACCCGACCTCTTTTCCCATCTTTCATTTATCTTCTCTCTCCCACTCGTTCAATGGCACCTTTCTCTTTCGTTACGTATGTACATCAAGACATATAAATTGTTTATATAATATTAATTCGAATCTTTTGTGATATTTATATTATTTTATTATCTAAGATTATTTTAAAGATCCTTTTTTTTTTTTTAATACATTAAATATTCATTCTTTTTTTGTTATTTCCATTCAAAATTGAACGATATTTGTTATTTAAAAAAATTTTTTCAATTTAAAGACAATTGACGTGTATCTCATAAAATATATGTACATAAAAAATAGTCATGAATCTTAAAAAAAGAATCGAAAAATAAAAAAAAAGACTTTAACACTTCTACACCCTTCGAACCAAATAAACGTGTTCACAAATACATATAAAATCGTTTTATCGAATCAATCAGAAGTTATCATTTTCATTGTATGAGAATTCGTAAAAGTTAAAAAAAATAGTGCATATCTTCTCGAAGCATTAACACGTTCGAACATTTTCAAAATTCCTAATAATTCCAATCAATCCTGACCTTCAAATTCCATATTAAAAATCAAACCTCCTCTCTTTCTACTTTTCATACACCCAATACAGTAGGTACATTCAATATATGCCAGTATATACAACTCACACGTGACAGTTAGCGTTGGTATGTTTTGTTTGCGAGCTCGATAAGCTTCTTCCTGGGTCAAGGTCGTTCGATGTAATCCGCTTCAGATAACATCGTCTCTCTCTCTCTCTCTCTCTCTCTCTCTCTCTCTCTTTCTCTCTTTCTCTTTCTCTCACATACACAGACACACACTCTGTCTCTCTCGAGAAAGAGAAAGAGAGAGAAAGTGAGTGTGTATGAGAGAGAGAGAGAGAAAGCTCATTCGTTCCTTTCCCTCCATTTCCTCTACCACCTTTACTACCATCTCGTATGTGTCCCATTCACAACATGGATAGGATTCAGAGGCAGAAATAGGAAAAAGAAAGAAAGGACGAAAGAAAGAAAGAAAGAAAGAGAAAG